GAACTTAGTAATTTGAGTCTGTTTTTCTCTCTCTTTTTTTTAGTCCATCTAGCTAAAGGTTTGTCAATTTTGTTGACTTTTTCAAAGCATCAACTTTTGGTTTCATTGATTTCTATTTTCTATTGTTTCATTTATCTCTGCTCTAATCTTTTTTAAAAATAGATTTTATTTATTTATTTGCCAGAGAGAGAGAGCACAAGCAGGGGAAGCGACAGGCAGAGGGAGAAGCAGGCCCACTGCCGAGCAAGGCATCTGATGTGGGACTCCATCCCAGGACTGTGGGATCATGACCTGAGGTGAAGGCAGGCACTTAACTGACTGAGCCACCCAGGCATCCCTCTGCTAGCTTTGACTTTAGTTTGTTCTTTTTCTAGTTTTTTTAATTGTGGAATTACGTCATTGAGATCTTTCTTGTTTTATAATATACATATTTATAGCTATGAATTTCCCTCTTAGCACTCTTTTTGTTATATATCATAAGTTTGGTGTATTATATTTTTGTTTTTATTTATCTCTATTTTCTAATATCTCTTGTTATTGATTTTCAACTATATCCTATTGTGGTCACAGAAGGTACTTTATATGATATCTGTCTTTTAAATATTGAGACTAATTTGAGAATTTGTGGCCTAACATATGTATATACTGGAAATTGTCCCATGTGTACTTCAGAACAATGTGTATGCTGTTGTTGTTGGATAGTGTTTTATATGTCTGTTAGATCTAGTTGGCTTATTGTGTTAAGTCCTTTATTTCCTTATTTTGGTTGTTCTTTTATGAGTGGAATATTGAAGTCTCCAACTACTCTTATAGGACTGTTTTGCCTTCAAATCTGTCAGTTGTTACTTCATATATTTAAAGTCCATTTTGTCTGATACTAGTGTAGCTACCCCTGCTCTCTCTTACTGTTTGCATGGAGTATCTTTTTCCATCCTTTCACTTTCAACCTGTTTGTGTCTTTGGATCTCAAGTGAGTCTCTTGTAGGCAGCATATAGTTGATCATGTGATTTTATCTATTCTGCCAAATTCTGTCCTTTGGAGAGTTTAATCCATTTACGTTTAAAGTAATTACAGGAAAGGAAGGACTTACTTCTACAGTTGGGCTATTTGTTCTCTGCTTCCCACCCATTTCCTTTATTATTGTCTTCTTTTACATCTAGTTGATTTTTTTGTAGTGAAATGTTTTGATTCTCTTTTCATTTTCTTTTGTGTGTGTTCTATAGTTATTTTCTTTGTGGTTACCATCAGGATTGTTTAACATCCTAATGTTATAACATTATAATTTGACTTTATACTAACTTAACTTCACACTCTCTCTCAAATAAATAAATAAAATCTTTAAAAAAAATTATGTAGGGTGCCTGGGTGGCTCAGTCGTTAAGCGTCTGCCTTCGGCTCAGGTCATGATCCTGGGGTCCTGGGATCGAGTCCCACGTCAGGCTCCCTGCTCAGCAGGGAGTCTGTTTCTCCCTCTCCCACTCCCCCTGCTTGAGTACCTTCTCTTGCTGTCTCTCTCTCTGTCAAATAAGTAAAATCTTTAAAAAAAAAAATTATGTAGGAAACAAGATTTGGAGTTACAGACCACAGTTACAATAATATTAGCTTTTAAACTAAAAATTGTTTTTTTAAAATGTGTTAGTCTTTTAAATATGTAGAAAACAGAAAGTGGAGTTACAAACTGTTGTTATAATAATTCTAGTATTTATATTTTTGCATGTATTTACCTTTATTGAAATCTTTATTTCTCCACATGGCTTGGAGGTATTGTCTAGTGTCTTTTCATTTTACCTTGTAGGACTCCCATGACATTTCTTTTTTTTTTTTTTTTTTAAGATTTTATTTATTTGAGAGAGAGAGAATGAGAGACAGAGAGCACGAGAGGGAAGAGGGCAGAGGGAGAAGCAGACCCCCTGCCGAGCAGGGAGCCCGATGCGGGACTCCAGGATCATGACCTGAGCCGAAGGCAGTCGCTTAACCAACTGAGCCACCCAGGCCCCCCCCCCCGACATTTCTTGCAGAGCAGATGTAGTGATAACTATCTCAGCTTTTGTTTATCTGGGAATGTCTTAATTTTTCCCTCACTTTTGAAGGACAGTTTTGCCAGATACAAGATTTTTGGTTGACAGTTTTTTCTTTTAGCACTTTGAATATATTGTCCACTGCCTTATATGTGATGAGAAATGTGTTGATAATCTTATTGAGGATCTCCCGTGTGTGACAAGTCACTTTTCCAGCTTTCAAGGTTCTCTGTATTTGCCTTTAGAAAGTTTGATTATAATATGTCTTGGTATGGGTCTCTGAGTTCATGTTACCTGAGTACATTGAGTTTTTTGGGGTATTTATATTCATGTCTTTCAGCAAAGTTGAGAATCTTTCAGCCACTAATTCTTCAAATATTCTCTCTGCCTCTCTCTCTCTCCTGTTTTTGAAGCTTCTACAATATATGCTGGTCGGCTTGATGTGTCTTGTGGGTCCCTTACATTCTGTTCACTTTCATTCGGTCTTTTTCCCTATTTCTTAGATTCAGTACTTTCCATTGTCCTATCTTGAGGTTTGCTGAATCTATCATCTGCATGCTCAAATCTGCTTTTGAATTGCCCTAGTGAATTTTTCATTTCTGTTATTCTTTTCAACTCCAGTGTTTCCTTTTGCTTTCTTTTTAGGTTTTCTGTCTCATTATTGGTATTTCCATTCTTTTTATACAGTATTTGCTTGATTTTCTCTAGGTCTTTCTTTAGTTTTTTGAGCAGCTTTAGACAGTTGTTTTAATATCTTGTCAGGCAAATCTGTAGTTCTTTCACAGGGACAGTTTCTTTGAATGGGCCATGGTTTCCTATTTCTTTGTATGCCTTTTGACTTTTTTGTTGAAAACTGGACATTTTAATATAATATGGTAAGTCTGGAATCAGATTTTCTCCATTCCCTAGTGTTTGCTGGTTTTTGTTAACTAATTAATTGGCATATTTATTTTTGTAGGCTGTCTTTGTGCCTAGGATCAGTCTGATCTATGAACTTAATTAAGGTCTTCTCAAGTCTTTTCTGAGCATGTGCCTTTTCCTGGACATTCATGGTCACTTTCTAATTTTCCCCATGTATTCAGTTGCTTTTGAATGGACTACTCTTTAATTACTGGCTCCTAAAAGGAGAAAAAGAGGGAAATGAAGGGAGGATAAAATGCTGTGAGCCCTGTAAGTACCCTGGCAGGCACCTCATTTGGAGGTGAAGAGGCTTGCTACAAGCCACATGGCTGCCCACCTCTGTCTGCACCACTCTGATCAGAAGCAGCAATCAGCAGTCAGACACAAATCCCTGATATTGAGAGGACAGGGTCTTTTTTGCCTCATTCCAGCGAGCTTGTGCAAGTTGCTACAGCATGGCGGGCACAACTGCATGCCCCTCAGGTGGAGGTGGAGGTTGTGCAGCACTGTGTTTGCAGCTGAAATTGACTGAAATTAACCACAACTTGCCAGCTAGGCCTTCTCAGGGAACTTGCAAGCCTTCAGTAGACTCCAGAGCTCTAAAATATACAGTTATACGGGACAGATTCCGCGAGTGCAGTTACTGAGTAGGTAGGGAGATGGATTCCTGGTGCCTCCTGTTCCACCACTGTCTTGGAATCCTTTTGATGTACATTTTATTTGCTTATCTTCTTTATTGTTTGTCTCTCCCATTGATATGTCATCTCCATGAGGACAACAATTTACTTCCCGTTTGCTCATTGTACCACAAAGCCTGGAACAATTGACACACAGTAGGTGCTCAGTAAATGTTTGTGGAGTGAATTTATACTATAGCAGATATAGTGAGTAATTGTGCCCAAGTTGGAGTACAGTATTGTTTACTGTGTTTTCTTCTTATTTATGAAGCTGATACCTGTGCACAGTTCCAATTAGATACTCTGGCTTGGGTCCTACCAGCTCCTTTTAAACACACTGGATTCTTGGGGCACCTAGTGGCACAGTTGGTTAAGTGTCCAACTCTTGGTATCAACTCAGGTTGTGATCTCAGGATTGTGAGATTGAGCCCCACTTTGGGCTCTGTGCTCAGTGTGGAGTCTGCTTGGGATTCTCTCTCTCCCTCTTCCTCTGTCCCTCCTGCTCATGCTTTCTCTCTCTCTCTCTCTCTCAATATAAAATAAATAAATCTTAAAAAAATTATAAACACACTGGATTCCTGACTTTATATTTAGCTGGGTACCTTGTCTGTCATATTCATTATTATATGTAATTTTTTAAGGTAATAATGTAAAACTCAGGAGTCAGAAACTAGCAGCTGCCCTGGGCCAGGTTGTGTTGTGTGTTGTGTGTTGTGTGTTGTGTGGCCAGCATAGTGGTTTGAATTGTTTTGACTTTGAATTAAAGCTTCATGCGAGGCTTATCCTTTAGACAGGCCCCCACTGTGTTAAAACCACACAATGACTGTTTCTTTCGTTATCACAGTTCTAATCATTTAATTTTTGTGTTTCTTTGTTTATTGTCAGTCTCCCCATCTAGGCTGTGAGCTCCACGAGGTCAGAAACCATGTCTACTTCATTCATTGCCTTACATCTCAGTCTTAGCAGAGTCTGGTACTGGATGGCATTTGATATATGAGGTGTGGCTATAAAGTCATACGTTTGGTCTTTTTACCAAATGTACTGAAACATGACCAGCCCTTAACGCCGCCCGCCTGGCTGCCATGGTTAGTTCCTTTCCCAGCTCCTCTCTGGGGGCCACCTTTACTCCGTGAGTTTAGGAGTCAGGAGCATGTTTATTCAGGATGTTAAAATGTACAGGGTGTTTCCTATGTGTCTTATTGGAATAATCGTCCGCATAGTTGCAGGTCATGAGTAAATTTGCGCATGTCGTACAGCAAGCACACGACATGGTGGACTCGAACCCAGCCCCCCGAGTGCCACGTTGGTGTTTTTTCTGCCTCACCCGCACAGTGAGTGTGCTCTCTGGTTTCAGTCAGGGCCTCTTGTGTGTTTTCTAGGAAAGAGGGTGAGATCACTCCTGCAACCTCCAGTAATACTTAATTCGTTTTATAAAGCATGTTAGACACCAAAATCGTTTTTCTGCGGCAGGCTGCTAGGTAGACATCCGAAGTGCTGTCCTTAGAAGCCGAGCTAGGACTTTGGCCCGTCGTGAACAATTCGGCTCTGGTGCCCCGCTCCTGTGTAGGTGCCTGCCCTGCAGGGTCTGGAGCTGTGCTGGCCCCTCTCTTCCCGCCCTCCCTGGCTGGGGCTGCTGTGTGCTCAGCGTCTCACTGGAGAGCAGGCTTGCTTCAGCGTGGTTGCTCTTCCCAGGAGTGCACTCTCAGGAGCCCGGTCTGAAACAGTCTCGGGCCTTCCTTTTGGTTTTATCTTTACTTATGCCAGCCTGTATTCCTTTAAACCGGGGGCCCTAAGGCTGGCATCCCAAAATACACCGTCCAGGCCGCTCCTCGCTGGCTTGCTCCGGCGCTCCAGGGAGGGCTTGCTGACCTGAAGGTGTCCTCTGGCCGTAGTCACTCTGCCCCAGGTCAAGAGACCAGAGAAGACGTTGGCACCGGGACCCGCCACTGGCAAAGTAGCTGTCATCTGAGGTAGGATATTGTTCGTTCTTTCCAGTCAGAGACGGCCCTTAGCTGCTGCTTCTCATACGCTTAAGACCCAAAGAGAGCAGGTTTACTCTGCTTTTACTTTCTGAAAATAGATAGGTCTTTTCAGATGTGGGTCATAAGCATGACCCATAGCTTATGTCACCTTTCATAGACCAGCTGTTAAGTGCTGGTCGTCACTTAGGAAATACAAGAGCGGTGTAGGTTTATGAGAACGGGATCCTAACTGCTTTTGGTGATACTAAGCCACTCCTTGCTGCATGATTTCAGCGACCTGCCTTCCAGTTGGAACTCCTCTCTGCCCTTTAGCCTGATTTTCTTGTGCATAACATGACAAATTATTTCATGCCTAATCCTTCTTTCAGGCCTGAAATCATTTTTATTCTTTAACTTTGGAGGGCTTTCAGCTACCCTCTGTTGATTTTCGGGTTTGGCTGTTAATGGTTTAATTTCTGTGTGTGATTCTGAGTAACTTCCCAACAACCTGTTTTTACGGATGGTTCCATTTACTTTATTTTTTTATGATTGGTTGAGAGAAAAAAAGGAATCTTAGGAACAGATTCCATCAGAATTTTGGCTAAAGGATGAGGAATAAAATAACATTAAAGTGACATTTCTGCTCAGAGTTGATTTCTTGAAGATAGTCTTGTCTCCACTTTGAGGTGCTAAAAGGCTCTCAGTGGAATAAGGGAATAGCTGAATTTCAAAGTCGCAGGGAGACCCCATGAACTTTCTGGCTGTCCAGGCCCAAGTAACACCCATGAAGGGACTTTTCTACCCTTGATCCTCTTTTAACTTAGGTCTAGAGCTCCGTAGTCTGTGGTATATGAAAATACAAGCAGACGAACTTAGTGTGTGAACACCTGAACTCTCTAACTTCTTCACACCCGTTGATGTGGCTTATTAGCGTAAGGTCATGCTTCAGGTCACTTCCCTGTCAATTAAGAGAGTAGACAGGACCGTGAGTGCCTACTTTTCTGTTAGGCGGTGCACTCGCATTTCTAGACCTTGTGTGATCTGTGGTTTCTACTTGAGGGGGGCTATCTCGCCTTCTTCCTTTTCTGACCTCACTCTCTCTTTGTGACTTGTTCTACTTTCTACTGGAGCTCACAGTGATGCTGGGCTCTCCCTTCTATGTATGAGCTGATCTCCAAATGCTAGAAATCATGAGCTAGATTTTTTTCCCCCACTTCTTTTTTATACCGTCAATCTTGCCTTCCCGATTCTGTCTGAAACTAGCAGTTAAGCATTTCAGTATAAAATGCAAAATTTGTAAACATACTAAAGTTCTTCTTCTATGCCATTTTCAAAGAAAACTGACCCCCTCTGACCTTGTTTTACATAGGAGATGTATTTCCTACTCTGGAAATGTGGCCAGTCAGGACACAATTCCTTTCTTCCACTTGGAAGCTTCTCTTTGCTTGGAGCATGCACCCGGACACCACAGCAAGGCGCTGGGGCTGAGTTACCTTCGTGTCTTGCTCTCGTGGCCACCCTCACTGCTGACGGTGAGACACAGAGGAGCTGACCCGGGCCAGCCAGCACTCAGAGGCTGGAGGGACCTAGCAGCCCAGGGGCCCGGCAGTACGGCTCCGTGCACTGCAGAGTGCAATCAAGGGGGTCGGTCTTTCAGAATTTTGAGAAACTCCCAGAAAGTTGGGATTGTCAATATGATTAACTTCACCTGGTCAGGAAAGTGGCCTGAATACCTACCCTGAATACTGTATTGCTCTCAAATAAATGGCTTGCTTTGGAATGTCTTTTCCCACCATCATCATCCTGAGTTAGCTGGGCACAACTGGTGCTGATTTCTAATTTACTTTGCATTCTGATTCTGTTAACGACTTGCCAGACTGAATGCAGATGTGCGCTCTCCCCACAGAAAGCCGGCCCATGGGCCAAGGATGGATCCCATTAACCTGGTGCCATATTTGCCTCAGGCAAAGTGGTCCCCAGGGCCAGGACACCAAGGCTGGCATGCGATGTTGTGTCAGGTGCGCAAGGAATCCCAGAAGTGTACAAGACGGTGTGTAGTTCTCTCTTTTCTTCGTGTCCTAGATTGCTGGCTTGGGTTGTAAAACGGTGCATGAAAATGCAGTTTGTTGGCAGCTGTCGTTGTCTTCATGGGGGGAACCTTGCTAGGTGGGTTTGTTTTCATCCTGCTCCTCTCTGGGTGTGAAAAAAGGGGAGCAGGGACATTTGGGCCCTTGTCTGCTCTCTCCTTGCTGTGTTGACCTCGATGACTGTTATGGTGGCTACATTTTCTGGTACGCACCTTGGCGTACGGGATCCTGACTTCTTCTGACAAAGTCGGGGTTCCTTTTTTCCTATTTGTTAATGTCATTAAACCAAAGGGTTTATGAAAGTATAAAAATTTAACTCCAGCAAGCTCTATGTTTAGTGAATTTCCTTCATTTGGAAGAAACCAGTTTTCATAAACCAGGGACTCTTTCAGACAGCCTTGGAAATCTGACTGCCGTGAAACTAATTCCTGGCCCAGGAGCTTAATTTAGTTAGTTCTGGGTCATGTTGATGCCAATGGCAACTGCATTTACTGAGCACTTACACTTCTCTAGGGATTGTGCACACATTTCCATGCATTAATTCAGCTGACCTCATAACAGACCTGTGAGGTGGACACTCATATACCCTCATTTTACAGATGAGGAGACTGAGGCCCAGAGTGGGGAGGTCCCTTACCCAGGCTGGTAAGTAAGTGGCTGAGCCATGATGCGAACCCAGCCAGGCTGGCCCGAGGGGTCATCCTTGTAACCCCTGTACTGCCATCACTTTGCCACAGCTAGTGTTTTCCACGTGGTCTCTGCAACCTCTGAATTTTGGGGGGCAGTGGGCTGCATATTGGTCCATGACACCCTTGTAGCCTTCAGTGGAGTTCCGAAGGCTGAAACGGGCAGCCACAAGGCTCTGGTCTCTGGGAGCCGATGGAGGACTGTGCAGAGCTGTTTCCACCCAGCTGACCTAATGGAGCTCTGTGCCTCCAACCCAGGGGTTGAGGCCTGTTGTCCCTTCATGAGTCCCTTCTTCAACTCCCTGGTCATCCCGAGCACTGGCCAGGTCCTGTGTAACTCTGAGCGAAGCAGGGTGGTCCACCTTGGGACCTGCCTGGTAGAAGGATCAGGGATTGCAGTGGGATAAAGCTCTTCCTAGACAGCCATCCTGCTGGGTTGAAAGCTCCCTACCCCCAACCCCAAGTTCATTACGTGGAAGTTCTGAGCTATGATTACCTTGGGGCCTACCTGTGTTTCTGTCACTTGCTGTAATTTTCTGGTAAAGCTGCACTAACAAACTGGCCATCATTCCTGCCCCCCCCGAATTCACCCCTCCCACCCCTAGGAAATATGCCTACACCCATGGTCTTCAGGGGCTGGGCCCTATGAAGGCCCCCAGGCAGTACATGCAGACCCACGGAACTGCAGAGGTACCGGTCCCTGCTCTACACCATTCTCAGTCCTTCCAGGTGCCAAAGGGTCCTTGGGCTCTAGCATTTCCCCTGGGATTCAGGGGCCTCGACTGTAGGCTAGAACACCTGGCCTCAGCTTCCAGTTGTGGGCCAGGGGTGGTGCCAATAGTACCCGGGTAAAGAGCTTGGCACCTTAGGGGCGCCTGGGTGGCTCAGTCGGTTAAGCGGCTGCCTTCGGCTCAGGTCATGATCCCAGGGTCCTGGGATCGAGTCCCACATCGGGCTCCCTGCTCAGCAGAGAGCCTGCTTCTCCCTCTCCCTCTGCTTGCTGTTCCCCCGCTTGTGCTCTCTCTCTCGCGCTCTCTGATAAATAAATAAAATCTTTAAAAAAAAAAAAAAAAGAGCTTGGCACCTTAGAAGCCACTTTAATTGCCAGCTCATCCGAGCGTAGGCTTGGCACCATGGAGGGTGAGAGGGAAATGTAACCACTTAGCAGACAGTCGTTGGGGACTTTTCAGAAGTGGATTAAGTGAGGTTGATGGGAAACAGTCATTTTTTCAGATGTTTGTCTAAGAATGTTAATTTTTTTATGGTGACCAAGAAATTGGATATATTTAGAAAGGCAGATGAAAAAATAAACTAAATACTAAACCAGTTGAGTTGGCAGTTCAAATATGAGCAGAACCTTTTGCAGTCAAGCAGTGTAACCTAGATCAGGACAGTTCACCCTGACCCTGAGGTGCAGGATCAAAGCAGCTCAGCATGTCAGTGGATCTGTGTTGGGCTTCAGTGGGGTCCTGGCTTCGTGGTGCCCACAGAGTTGATGTTGCCTTGGGAATGGAAGCAGAAATATTTTTTTAAATATATGGAGTTGAGGACATGGGACATTCAGCAGGTGAGTGAGGGTTTTACATAGTTACTCCCAATCTGATGAAGAATTGAAAGCTTTAGGCTGGTTTGCAGGAGCTCCGCTCTTGGTTTCCAGCCTCTTCCTTTCCGAACAGGATTACTATGCTCATAATATCTTAGTTCTGGAGGAGGATTATGGGTGGCGGGCCTTTTGTGTAGTAGACTCAGCCCACTTGTCAAACGCCTTACAGGGCATTTCTTTCAAAGTGCTGCTCCTCACTGGCTCATCCTTGAGCTTCCTTTAATCCTGTGTCTCCCTTCTCTCTTAGCTTGTTTTGGGCACGGGGGCATGGGTGAGTGACAAGGAATCCGAGAAGCTTGGAGGAGTAAGGAAATTTGGGCAGTCACGGAAGGAATGGATCCTAAGAATTGACTGCCAGTGTTGCAGAGAAGCTCCTGTAGCCTCCTGATTTCATGTGGCTGACCATGGCTCCCTGGCGAATGCTGAGTGAGAACACGCCACAGTGCGTGGCAGGGCATCCTGCTTCCCGGCCTGAGTCTGTGGCAAAAGGCAGCTTCCCTCTGGGTGTCTGTGAGGCCTGTGGCCAGGAGGACATGTGTGGGCCTTCGCAGACACCATCCAGGGCACACCCCACCCAGAAACATCCATGTGCTTAGGGAGGAGTAGAAGGATTGGTATGGTGTTCTTTTTCCTTTTTAAAAATGTTTTCTAGTTTCACAAATAGGGGTTGAGAATGATAATGGGTGTAGCTAAGTCCCCCTAAATAGGTTTCGGAAGGAGAATCAGGTGAGTGTGGATATTGCCAGAGCCTCCCGTCACACTCATGGGTAACTGGGTCCCGCGCTGAAGGACTCTTTCAGCTTGTCCTGGGGTCGCTGTGCGCCTCTGAGAGGCATCGCAAGGCCTGTGGCTTTGCTGTCTGCTCGTGTCGGTCAGATGAGAGAAAGCAAGTCCACGGTGCTGAGCAGTCGGCATGGAGCCCAGGGCCTTAGGAAGATAGTTGCTGGGCTCAGAGCTGAAATCCACCCAAGAGAGATCTGCGCTCTGTATCAGTCTAGGGGGAGGAGGGCTGGCAAGTGCCTTGAGTTTTCCTGTTTTGTCACAACTTCATTTGATTTGGGTTCCTTCAGGAAGAGTCTGCTGAAGGTGAGGCTCATGGACTTTATTACCTCCACGGCCATCCTGCCCCTGCTGTTTGGCTGTGTGGGCGTCTTCAGCCTCTTCAAGCTGCTGCAGCGGATGCGCACGAACGCCTACCTGCGGAACGCCGTGGTGGTCATCACGGGTGCTACCTCAGGCCTGGGGCGAGGTGGGTCCTGGGGGCAGTGCTGGCGGGGGGCGGGGGGCAGGGCACCTGCCCGAGGCAAGGGGAGCAGCTCCTCCGCGACAAGGGTGCAAGTAAGTGAAGCGGGCTCGGTGACTTGGGAATGAGAGCATGTCACTGTCCCTGGTCCACGTGCAAAAGGCGAGAGCTTAAGTGCGATGAGAAATGGCCCCTGACTTTGATCAGCATCAGTGTTGGGAGGCGAAAGCCATGAGGAAGACTCTGGCAAACTGGAGACTCCGTGTCTCATCTAAGGGGGCCGCCTTACTCCGCTCCAGCTAGTTGTGGAAATTGGGGTTTTTATGTGAAGGCTTCCAATTGTCAGATACGGCAACTGACTTAAAAAACACTGTTACGTCTGTGAGGGCCAGACGAAGCATGCGTTTTCCTGGCTTCAGCGAGCGTCCCCAGTTCACAGCCTTGGGGTCCCCTTCCCCTCCCCTTCCTCTCCCTGGGGTTGCGCCTCCAGCTGTACCTTGAGCATGGCCTGGGCAGGGTCGGGAACAGAACACGTGGTACTTCAGATACTCGGTTCTTCCAGGGAGTTCCATCTGAGTTGCTGCACACGGTGAGCCTCTGGGGGCCAGGCATTGTATGCTGGGACACAGGCCCAGAGTCAGTCACCACCCCCGGCCTCACAGATGAGTTTGCAGAGCTGCTGTCATTTCGCTTCCACACATGTACACGGACTTTGGCAAACTCAGGCATGTCGCGTGTCGCTTCCTCCTCCTCAGCATCTGCACACGTACCAACCACAGCAGCGCTCGGTGCCATGGAAGAAGGCGGAGAGGCACCCAGGACTGTGGTAGACCCATCCCTGCTGCATCTTTTGGTTGGGAGAAGCACAGCCAGCGCTGATGAAGCGTCTCCCATTTGGGAGGCTCTGGGCCAAGTGCTGGGACAAACCAAGGAAAGACAGGGCCCCTTCCCTCAGGGAGTTCACAGTCCGATGGAGAGCAGCCAGGACTTATCTCAGGATACTGACATTTCCGTAATGGGTGTTCCCATCCAGGCCCGGGAGGGGCACGTGCTGCCTCGCACTTGAGTTCACCGAATGCTCACAGCTAAGATGCAGAGATTTGCCCTAGGACTTCTAGATTCAAACCCCAGGTCTGACTGCAGGACTCTGTCTTGTCTCCCCTGCGGGGGAGACAGCCAGGGACAGGAAAGCATGGGCCAGCAAGGAGGGCATTGCAGACAAGCCCAGAATAGGGAGCAGCGTGGTCATGCAGGACTGGGAAGAAGTTGGGTGTTGGAGGAACATAAAGGAGCAGATGGGGCCTTGTCTGCAGAGGAAGTGGCTTGCAGTCAGCTGGGGGGAGCCTGGGAAAGCATGGATTCATTTGTATACGCCGCTCTGATGTTTTAGGTGAGGTCTCTGCGGGTGAACCCTGGGCCTGTCATTAGATACCCAGACCTGCGTGGGGACAGCTGCCTCCAGGCCCTTTGCCACTGTCAGTCCTCTGACCTTACTCAGCTACTATATATAGGGTAGTCAGCAGCCACTTCTCTTGATCTCAGAGAGAAGCTTTTTTTTTTTTTTTAAGTCCTTGAAGAGTATTTGAGAGCTGGCTGGGATGGTGACTTGCACGTGCTCTAATATGTGAATATTGGAGAAAGACACTGTCCTCTTGGTCATTCCATATCTCTTCTTCCGGAAACCAAGACTGTGACGGGAATAGACAATATAATTGAAAAAAAATCAAAACCTGTGTGTGTGTGTGTGTGTGTGTGTATTTCTATCATATATTAGGTCAGCCATTTCCCAGATTCCAAATCACTCTGCTTATACGCTGCCCCATTTCACATCTGAAAGACAAGAGTCCATGGATCTCTTCCCCCTCCGGCCAGATAGAACAGGAGTGGATTCTTTACCACCCGTCTCAAGGACAGACGCCCCTGTGGGTGGCCACCAAGGAGGCGCTGCTGCCCCTCAGCTTTTGGAGGAGGAAGAGCGTGAGTTGCCCTTGGTGGCTCTGCTCTGCCTGCCCTGTCAGCCGGTCTGAAAGCCTGGATTATGTGATAAATCTTCAGACAGCTTTGTGTATTTCTCCTGTTTTGTCTCCTGTTTTGTATATTTAAGCTACACGAGCTTATCCTTATAAAACAGTAAGACCATTGACTAGAGGGACAGAATGTTCTGGATAACCACTTTAGCCAGCTTGAGCCCTGAGGTCGTGAATAACTCTCTTGACTGAACAGGCCAGGAGTGCCAGCAGTGGTGGGAAATCATCTGGCAGCCGTAGCTGGATAAATGGTACTTTGGGACTGTTCTCCTTTTTCCCTTGACCCTCCTGCCTCCCTGTGTCAGCTTTCTCAAGAAACGAAAATGGAATCCTTGCAATCTGTTGTTTTCATTTCTGTCATTCCCTACACGGACTTCAATTTCCTCCCTGTTTGGCTGTGCTGGGAAGCAAAGCTTAAGCAGAATGTACGTGACTGCCTTCCAGAAGTTGTTTGGGTACTAATGTGCCTCTCCCCACCTTTGGTTCTGTGTGTCTGCACTGCTTGGTGACACCTCACAAAATGTCCGTTGTGTCAGTCACATCAGGATGAAATGGGGTGAGGAAGCCAGCCGTGCCTGAGATTCCTCTCTTTGGGAATGAGTCAGTAAACCACAGGAGCAGCTCTAGCCTCAGGAATGCGGGCATCTGGCTTTGAGTGCAGCCGCCACCCCCATCCCTGCGAGGCGTTTGCTGCCGGCTGAGGAAGCACAGCAAGGCGGGCTGCGCAGGGGCTGACACCCCAACTGGACCGTGCAGGGACAAGCAGAGCAGGGGCTGCAGCTCTTTCTGGGCTTGTGCCTTCTGTCAGGATGAGCCAGAGAACGAACCAGCCAAATCTTCAAGGAAGGTGATACACCACACCTGAAAATGTCTTGATTTAGTCCACTGAGCACATCCTTCCCGAAAATTCCGCCTGGAGACACGCCAAGAGGTGCTGGTCCGGGGATGGTATGTGAAAGCTGTAAGAGGAACTAAAGGAGGAGCCGTAGAGTGAACAGACAAGGCTTTGCACCATGAGACAATCCAGACGTCAAAGAACTTTGTGGTTTCCTGAAGGATGCTGGAGTTTGTTCTCCCCTCCTGTTTTGAACCCTTCTAGCTTTTGGCACTTTTGTGGGGGAAGGGCTGTCAGACCAGTACACCCTGCCTGGACCCTACACCGTCCTCCGCTCCCAGCAGGGAAGTGACAGGCTTGATCCTTCAACCACTGGCCTCACGGCTCCCAGGGCAAGCCTGTCCTTTCTCTGAGTCGGGGTACGAGACACCACCCGACTCTGAGCCTCTGAGATTCGGCCCTGGACGAGGTGGGGGTACTCTGGCTGCCTGGTCAGCTGGGGGCGGAGGGGTCTGTGTGGACCTGCCCGTGGGTGTTTGAGGGAGACCAGCCCAAAGGTGTGGATAGGCAGTGCCTCTTTAAACCCTCGGGTTTCAGTTTTCACCAATAGTCAGTTGTTAGAACGTTTTAAAAAGGCAGCTTAGAAACATGAAAACAGTGAGCACTTCTGTGGTGCTTTTTTCTGTAGTGCTTTTTCTCTACTGTATTGTATTGACTTCTAGTCATTCAGTCCCAGTGCTGTTTTTACCTGCATTCTATAGAAGAGGTAAGTGAGACACACAGAGGTTATAACTTACCCATGATCACAGAACCAGGAAGTGACCAAGGCCGGCACTGGACGTGGGCGGTCGAGTTCAAGTCCAGTCCCCTGACCACTGGGCTGCACTGCTTTTCACAAGCTGTATGTTTTCAGGGCACCGAGCATTCAGTCAGGCCGTGTCTGGGCTCAGAGCAAGCAAGAAGCAAAAGGCCCTCACCTCCGTCTCCCCCACAGGTTAGCCCCGGTTCTGGAGGTCTCCCCTCCCAGGGATTTGCCTGTGACCCTTGCTGGCGTCGTCCTCGAGATGCCGGCCCACCCTTCCTGGGATTTCGGCAGCAGAGCTTGCCTGAGTCAGAGACCCCTCTCCTGTCTGGTGGGGGAGCTGTGTTGATGTGACTCAGAGCTGCCTGCAGCCCCATTCTCATCTTGGAGGGAAGCCAGGCCGGGGAGACGAAGTGGAGAAAAGGCCCTGCCAGCCCTGAGAGAGCCTGGGTCCTGCTGCCAGTGGCCCTGGGCGGCCACCACTCCTGTCCCTCCTGAGTCTTGGCCACTCAGCTCTTTTCCCTTAATTCTGGAGCAATCCCAGCATCCTCCGGATAAATCTCTTTTTGCTTTGTCCCAGTGGGAGTTGGGTCTCTTTTCTTGCCACCAAAAGAACACTGACTAATAGGAGGTACCCCGGTCTCAGTTGATGTCACCTGGAATGTTGGAGTGGGTTCAGCAGAGCCTGATCTCCACCAGTCCCCTTCCTTCTCACCCAGTGGGAGGGAGCCTTTTAAACTGCATCCTCCCGTACTGGGCCTTCGCAGCTGTCGACACTCCACACGCCTCAGCTCTTCACATTTGTTTGTCATTTCCCAGCCTGGGGCAAGGCTGGCAGACTCTCTGCTCTGTGTCCCAGATGTATCTGTCCGTGGCCCCCCGGTTGCTTTGCAAACTCTGCTCCCTTAGCCTTCCTTGAGCACTTTCCAGAGAAATTTCAGCCCCTCAGGCCCCCCCATCCTTTCTCAACAGAGTCCTGTGCCCCCTGGGCTTGTACAGACCATGTAAGCATGCCCTGTAGATCTATACCTGCTGTGTTGTAGTGACTTGGGAAACAGCCTAGATTGTGCCAGAACACAGACCTCGGCAGACCACAGCCTCACAAATGGCTGGTGCTGCCTGATTGTTGAGCACATCGCTTGACCTTTCTGAGCTTCCTCAGCTGTGAGAAAGGGGGTAATGCCCCCAGGGTTGTTCAGAGCTAAAGATCGTTATGGAAAGTTCTGAGCACGGTACCTAACAAATCTGTCCACTGTTCCTGGCCTTCCTCTTGCCTTGGTGTCTGCCATACCATCGATGTGAGCTCTCCTAGGGCAGCAGCGGGGCTCATTCATCCCTGGGGCCTTAACTCCTAGCTCCACGCCTCATCCACAGCAGGGGCAAATACACATGTGTGCAGTGCATGAAGAAACAAGTTCATGCTCTGAAACACGGAGTGAGTTTGGACTGACCTGCACTAGGGAAGAAAGGCATTGAATTTCCTCAGCTGTCAAGGTTCTTTCTCCCTCCCTTAGAATGCGCCAGAGTCTTCTACACTGCGGGTGCTAAGCTGGTGCTCTGCGGCCGAAACCGGGAGGCCCTGGAAGAGCTCACCGAAGAACTTGCTGCTTCTCTGGCCACCAAGGTGAGCCCAGGGGTGTGTTTTCCGTGGGCCAGAGGTGCAGGCTATCATCTGCAGGCATCTGAGGAGATAGCAGGTCTCCATTGCCTGAGGAGGGTGAACTGTCGCACGGTTCAGATCCCAGCTCTGCCACTGAGTTTAGGCCATTCCCTCCGTGAATGCTTCCACTCCCCCTTTACCTGGCTGATACCTATTCATCTCTCTATGGTGGGGAGATGGGGGGAGGTTGGCCATGACTTCTAAAATTTTAATTGTGGAAAAATATACATAACATAGTACTTACATGCATATAAAGATATATATATAAATAAAATATACGTATCATAGTATTAATCAATTTAACCATTTCTTGGTGTACAACTCAGTGGCATTAAACACATTCAGAATGTATACAACTATCACCACTTTCTATACTTATCATCCCCAACAAAAATTCTGTACCTATTAACAATAATTCAGTCTTCCTCCCCTCTCCCCAGTGCCTGGAAAAGTGTCTATTCTACTGTCTTTCTATGTATTTGCCTATTCTAGATACCTTATATAAGTGGACAATATAATATTTGTCCCTCTATGTCTGGCTGTTTCACCACGCACTGTGTCTTCAGGGTTCATCTATATTGTAGCATGTATCAAACTTCCATTCCATTTTATGGTGGAGTTTTATTCCAGTGTACTTATATACCACATTTTGATTTATCCATTACTTTGTTGACGTACACTAGAGTTTCCATCTTTTGGCTATTGTGAATAATGCTGCAGTGAACATAGTTGTACACATTATCTGTTTGAGTCCCTGCTTTCAGTTTTTTTGAATATACAGCTAGGAGTGGAATGGCTGGGTCATGGGGTAGTTTTATGTATAACCTTTTGAAGAATCGTCATCTGTTTTCCTCAGCAGCTCTACCATTTTACATTCCCACCAGCACCACACAAGGGTTTTTTTTTCTCCACAGTCTTGCCAACACTTGTTCTTTTCTCTTTGTTTTTTAATTGTACCCATCCTAGGAGATATAATATGGTATCTCATTGTGGTTCTGAGTTGCATTTCTCTAATTACAAATGATGTTGAGCATCTCTTCATGTGCTTACTGACCATTTAGATGTCTTCTTTGGAGGAATGTTTTTTCAAGTCCTTCTCCTGTCTTTTTAAATCAGGTTGTTTGTTTTTGTTGTTGAGTTTAGTTGTGTATATATTCTGGATAGTAATCCTTTATCAGATCTGTGATATTTGCAAATATTTTTTCTCATTCAATAGATTGTCTTTCCACTTTGTTGACAGTATCCTTTGATGCAGAAAAGTTTTACTTTTTTTTTAGATTATTTATTTATTTATTTGAGAGAGAGAGAGCACAAGCAGGGGGAGAGGGAGAAGCAGACTCCTCACTGAGCAGGGAACCTGATGCGGGGCTCGATCCCAGGACCCCGGGATCATGACCTGAGCTGAAGGCAGACGCTTAAGCGACTGAGCCACCCCGGCGCCCCAAGTTTTATTTTTTTTCAATAAAGATTTTATTATTCATTTGAGAGAGCACATGTAAAATTTTATTATTCATTTGAGAGACAGAGCACGCGCACACACGAGCAGGTGGAGGGGCAGAAGGAGAGCGAGGGAAAGAGTCTCTAGCAGACTCCATGCTGAGTGCAGAGCTTGACCCAGGGCTCGATCTCTCAACCCCGAGATCATGACCTGAGCCAAAATCAAGAGTCAGATGCCCAACCAACTGAGCCACTGAAAAGTTTTTATTTTTGATGAAGCCCAGTTTATTTTTGTTGACTGTACTTGTGGAGTCATATCCATGAGGTTGTTGCCACATCTGATGTTATGAAGATTTTCCCCAATGTTTTATTCTAAAAGTGTAATTTTAACTCCCAACATTTAGGTCTTTGATCCACTTGATTTAATTTTTGTATACGGTGTTAGGTAAGGTTTCAACTTCATTTTTTTTTTTTTTAAGATTTTTATTTATTTGACAGAGAGAGAGACAGCGAGAGAGGGAACACAAGCAGGGGGAGTGGGAGAGGGAGAAGCAGGCTTCCCGCCGAGCAGGGAGCCCGATGTGGGGCTTGATCCCAGGACCCTGGGGTCATGACCTTAGCCGAAGGCAGACGCTTAATAACTGAGCCACCCAGGCGCCCCACAACTTCATTCTTTTGCATGTATATATCCAGTTTTCCCAGCACCCATCAGTTGTTGAAAAGATTGTTCTTTCCTGCTTGAATGGTCTTGGCACTCCTGTCAACAGTCATTTGGCCGTGTATGCGAGCATTTATTTCTGGGCTGTCCATCCTATTTCATTGGTCTGTGTGTCTGTCTTTATGCCATTCCCACACTGCTGTAGCTTTGCAGTAAGTTTTGAGATCAGGAAGTGTGACTCTTCCAGCCGTGTTCCTTTTTTTTTTTTTTTTCAGTATTGTTTTGGTTATGCGGGGACCTTTGAGATTCCATATGGATTTTAGGATTTTTTTTCCTATTTCCTCCAAAACATGCAATTATTTTGATAGGGCTAGCATTGAATCTGTAGATTACTTTGGGTAGTATTGACTACTTAACAGTGTTAAGTCTTCCAGTCCGTGAACGTGAGATGTCTTTGCATGTATTTAGGTTTTCTTTCATTTCTATCAGCAATGTTTTGTAGTGTTTAGCATACAAAAATTTGACCTTTTTAGTTCGATTTATTCCTAACTAAATTTTGCTTTCCTCATTTCCTTTTCACATTATTCATTGCTGGTGTATAGAGACATAGCTGGTGTGTGTGTGTTGTTCTGGTAACTGCAACTCTGCTAAGCTGACTTACATTAGCTCTGTGGCTTTCTCTGGATCCCTCGGGATTTCCTATATATGGGATCCTGCCATCTGTGAAAAGTTGTACCTTTTCCTGTCCAATATGGGTGCCTTTTATTTCTTGTTCTTGTGTAAGTGCTCTGATTACAACCCTAGTGCTGTGTTGAATACCTACATGAAAGCAAGCATCCTTGTCTGGTTCTTGGTCATAGGGGGAACACTTCCTATCTTACACCATTGAACATATATTAGCTGTAGGTTTTTCATAAACATCCTTTACCATGTTGTGGACTTTCCCCTGCATTCCTGGTTTTCTGGGTTTTTATCATTAAAGGGTGGTTGGAATTTGTCAAATCTCTTTTTTGCATCAATTGAGATGATGTAATTTTTTCCTTTGTTCTATTGATGTGATATACTGATTGATTTGAACCACCCCTGCATTCCTAGGATAAATCTCACTTGTTCATGGTGAATAATCTTTTCAGTATGATGTTGAATTTGATTTGCTAGTATTTTGTTGAGGATTCTAACATCTGTATTCATAAAGGATATTGGTCTGTAATTTTCTTGTGATGTCTTTATCTGGACTTGGTATCAGAGTAATGCTGGCCTCTCAGAATTGAGTTAAGAAGTGTTCTCTCCTTCTTCAGTTTTTTGGAAGAGTATGAGAAGTGTTGGTCTTAATTCTTCTTTAAAGTTTGGTAAAATAATTCACCAGTGAAGCCATTTGCTGTCTGACATTCCTTTGTTGGGAGGTTTTAGGTTATTGCTTCAATCTCTCTAACTGTTCTGTGTCTGCTGAGATTTTTCTATTTCTTCTTGAGTCAGGTAATTTGTGCGTTTCAAGGAATTTGTTCAATTCTTCTAGGTCATCTTATTTGTAGGCATACAATTGTTCATTGTATTATAACCTTTTTTGTCTAGGTAGGGACCCGCTCTATCCTCTCTTTCTTTGTCTAGCTAATGGTTTCTCAATTTGTCGATCTTTTCAAAGAACCAACTTTTGGTTTCATGATTTTCTTTATTTCTACTTTCTATTTTTATCTCCTCTCTAATCTTTATTTCCTTCCTCTGCTAGCTTTCAGGTTAGTTTTACTCTGTTCCAGTTCCCTAAGGTGTAAAGTTATGTTATTGATTTGAGATCTTTTTTTTTTTTTAAATGTAGGCATTCATAGTATAAATTTCCCTCTTACCACTACTTTCACTGCATCCCATTACTTTGGGTATGTTATGTATTCATTTTCATTTGTGTCTAATTAGTCTCTAATTTCCTTTGTTATTTCTTTTGAGTCAGTGGTTCTTTAAGAGTGTGTTGTTTAATTTCCACTGGGTTTCCAGTTTACCTTCTGTTACTGATTTCTAGCTTCATCACACTGTGGTTGAAGAAGACGCTTTAAATGATATCTGTCTTTTTCAGCCTGTTAACATTTGTCTTGTGGCCTAACATGTGGTCTATCCTGGAGAATGTTCCATGTGTGCTTGAGAAGAATGTGTGTCGTGCTGTTGTCGGGTGGGATGTTTTATATGCGTCTGTTCAGTCCTGTTGGTTTATAGTATTCAGGTCATCTATTTTGTAATTGATCTTCTGATTGGTTGTTCTGTCCACTCTTGAAAATGGAACGTGGAAATATCACAATATTATTATAGAACTTTCTATGTCTCCCTTCAATTCTATTGATTTTTGCTTCATATATTTTAAGGGTCTATTATTAGGTACACAAATATTTACAATAACTACCTTTTTTTTTTTTGCTATAATGAATACCTTTTTATTATTACAGGCTTACCTTATTTTACTGTGTTTCACTGTATTGTGCTTTGCCGATATGGTGTATTTTACAAATTGAAGGTTTTGTGACAAGCATGTATTGATCTAGTCTATCAGTGCCATTTTTCCAACAGCATTTGCCCACCTCATGTCTCTGTGTCCTGTCTCTGTGTCACATTCTGGTAATTCTCATAATATTTCAAACTTTTCCATTATTAATTTGTTATGGTGATCTGTGATCAGTGATTACAACTCACTGAAAGTTCAGATGTTGGTTCACACTTTATAGCAATATTGTTAAATTAAGATACGTATGTTTTGTTAGACATAATGCTATTGCACAGTAATAGACTAAGGATAGGGTAAAGATAACTTCTATATAAGTAATAGACTATATAAGTAATAGAGTAAGTATAGGGTAAAGATAACCAGAAAATTCCTCTGGCTTGCTTTATTGAGATATTTGCGGTACTGTAGCGGTCTGAAACCAAACCTACAATGTCTCTGAGGTATGCCTGCACATAATGTCCTTTTTGGTCCTTTTGTCCTTTTCTGATTTAAAGCCTATTTTGTCCGATATTAGTACAGCCACTCCAGCTCTCTGTTGGTTATTATTTACATGGAATAACCTTTTTTCATCCTTTCACTTTCAACCTAATTGTATCTTTGGATGTAAAATGAGTCTCTTAAAGACAGCATATAGTTGGATTTTGAAAAAATATTCCAGCTATCAGTGTTTTGATGAGAGAGTTTAAATCATTTATATTTAAAGTAATTATTAGTAAGGAGGAACTTCTGCCATTTGGCTGTTTGTTTTCTGTGTGCCTTATAGCTTTTTTTTGTCCCTCATTTCCTACATTACTGTCTTTTGTGTTCAGTTGGTTTTTTTGTAGTGAAATGTTTTTGATTTCCTTCTCATTTCCTCATGTGCATATTTTATAGTTATTGTTGTGTGGTTTCTAAGGGGATCCGTAGCATACAAAATTTCTGCTTTACGGCTCTGTCCTCCCCCATTTCTGTTATTCACATCACAGGTTACATCTTCATACAGTGCTTGGCCCGTTAACAGATTAATAATAGTTTTCAAACACATTTGTCTTTTAAATAAGGTGAAAGTAGAAAGTGGAGTTACAAGCCAAAATTACAACAGTAGTAGCTTTTATACTTGCCCGTGTATTTACTTTACCAGAGATCTTTATATCTTCTTCATATGGGCTTCAAGTTATACTGTCCAGCTTACTTTCATTTCAAACCTGAAGGACTCCCTTTAGCCCTTCTGGCAGAGCAGGTCTACTGGTAACTAGCTCCCTCAGCTTTTGTTCATCTGGGAATCTTAATTTCTCCCTCATTTTTTGAAGGATAGTTGTGCCAGATACAGAATTCTTGGTTAACAGTTTTTTTTTTTCTTTCAACCCTTTTATCAACCCACTGTCTTCTGGCCTCCAAGGTTTCTGATGAGACATCAGCTCATCATCTTACTGAGAATTCCTTTTATGTTAGAGTAGTTCTCTCTTGATGTTTTTAGGATTCTCTCTCTCTCTCTTTTTTTTTTTTTTGTCTTTTGACTGATTATAATGTGTCTCCGTATGGGCCTCTGAATTTATCCAGTTTGGTGTTGAGCTTCTTGAATGTGTAGTTTTCATGTCTTTCATAAAGTTTGGGAAGTGGGGCGCCTGGGTGGCTCATTCGTTAAGCGCCTGCCTTTGGCTCAGGTCATGATCCCAGCGTTCTGGGATCAAGCCCCACATCGGGCTCCCTGCTCGGTGGGAAGTCTGCTTCTCCCTCTCCCACTCCCCCTGCTTGTGTTCCTGTCTCACTGTGTCTCTCTCTGTCAAATAAATAAATAAAATCTTTAAAAAAAAAAAAAAGTTTGGGAAGTTTTCAGCAATTATTTCTTCAGATATTCTTTCCACCCGTCTCTCTGTCTCTTCTCCTCAGATTCCCACAGTGTGTTTATTGATCCACTTGATGGTGTCCCACAGATCCCTTAGGCTCTGTTTACTTTTCCTCATTCTTTTTTCTTGTTCTCAGACTCAGTAACTTCAGTTGTCCTTTCTTCCGTTCCACTGCTTCGCTCAAATGTGCTTTGTATACTTGTAGTGTATTTTCCATTTCGGAAGTTGTACTTTGAGCTCCAGAATTTTTTTTATAATTGGTTTCTTTGATGGCATTTCTTTAATGATACTCATTTTGTTTATACATCAATTTTCTGCCTTTGTCCATGTCTTCCTTTAGCACTTTGAGGATCTTTTAAGACCTTTGTTTTAAAAATCTTTGGTAAGTCCATCATCTGGGCTTCCTCAGGTATGTTTTCTGGGGATTTATTTATATTTTTGAATATCAAAACAACAGGTGTTAACTCCTTTAAATCTATTGAAAACCATTTTAGCCAGTGGTGGTTAAAATAATTCAACTTGCCTCCATGCCGCACCTCAGTGATCCATCACCAGAACACAACCCTGATTTTTAAAAGACAAGGTCCTTATTGCCTATTTTGGCTCCCTCACGCTGCCCCAGAAGTATGGGTTTTCCTATAGCTGCCTGCCACAGGGATGCAGGGATGGGGGATGGAAGCCTACCACCAAGGTGATAGGTAGAATGGACCAAAATTATCTATAATTTGCCAGGGAAGCACTGCCCTGCAAGCTGCAAGCATTCAGTTAGACTCCAGAGTTCCAAAATTGTCGCTCCAGAGAGTTTCTGCCAGTACAACATCCAGGTGGAAAGACAGATTCCTGGCACTTCCAACTCTGCCGTCTTCTCTGATTTCACATCCCCACCCCTCCTTTTAATCTCTTGTTAAACTCATGTCCATTGGGAAGTCCTGTAAGTTAGATGGCTCAGTTATTCATTTCTCTAGCATCTTATACTTCTTCATGATATTCTTTACAGTTACAGAATTTGTCTTCCTCACTGGACGGTATGCTTCTGGAAGACAGGAACCATGTCTGTCTTGCTTTCTGCCCTGTCCGCAGTGCCTGGCACACAGGAGATATCTATAAAAAAGTTTCATGAACAAATGAACAAAAAGGACAGCCAGAGAAGGATAGCCCCTCTCAGGAGGGGCATTGTTTAGTGTCATGACGACATACAGCATGGTGCTGGCCCGAGGCAGGCAGGGGAGCCTGGCTCTACGACTCATTTTCAGTTCAGGGGAGAAGTTGCCCAGGTCGGATGTGAGCACCAGACGCAGGAAGCTCCGGGCCACATTTCTTCAGAAGAGCGGTGCTAGAGCCTGGGTCACGTCACGCCCAGTGGGCTGCTCGTGGCACTCGGAGCAGGGACACATGGCTCACATGCCTGTCCCTCTGAAGGTGCATCTGGTTTCTGCCCTCTTTGACCAGGTGCAGACACACCGGCCTTACACGGTGACCTTTGACCTCGCCGACCCCGGGGCCATTGTCGCAGCAACGGCGGAGATCCTGCAGCGCTTTGGCCATGTGGACGTGCTCCTCAACAACGCCGGCATCAGCTACCGCGGCGCCATCGTGGACACCTCCACGGACGTGGATAAGAAAGTCATGGAGACGAACTACTTTGGCCCAGTTGCTCTAACGAAAGGTAGTAGTCCTGAAGTAAAAGCAAAAAGACCACTGTATGCTGGCACCCTTCGTACTTTACTCGATTGCTTTTTAGCCAGACGTTGCCCGTCGCTGTCTGTTTTACCCTGGAATAGGTGTTGGCATTACAGCTTGGCGGTTTGTTTTCTCCAGGCTTTCCTTTGCATTTTTTTTATCTGCTTTCTAGCCTTAAACCAGGGTGTTCTCCTCAGTGACAGCTTATCTGCACAGCATTGCATCCATTTCCTTTTCACGGTGTTTGGAAGCCCATACAAAGTGGGGACATTTTTGTGCCCAGCCGCAGATATCACTCAAGGGGAGAGGCTCTCCCTAGAGAAGGGGACTGAGCTGACTGTTCCTAGGGACTGGGCTTCTGCCTGCCTCCCTCCTTGCCTCCTGCCCACTGTTCTGCTGGCCTCCTCCCTCCTGCTGGTGGTCTGCTGGGTGCAGGAGGCCTGAGACTTCCAACCAGCGTGGTGCTCCCTGCGGAGCTTTCCCCGTCACCTCCCTGGCTCTAAGTGCATATAATAAGCGAGGTCACCTCCTGTCAGCGTTAGCTGCTGTGACCACAAGAAAAGTCGTCTCTAAAGCTCCGCTGTCTGTCTCTAGCGCTCCTGCCCTCCATGATCAAAAGACGACAAGGCCACATTGTTGTGATCAGCAGCATCCAGGGCAAAATCAGCATTCCTTTCCGATCAGCATGTGAGTACTCCCTGCTCCCTCCCTCGTGTGCTCTTCCTTATTGTTTTCTCAGGATTATAAAAATAGCATGTTTAGTATGCAGAATTCAGCCATTAGAGAGACATTCAACACAGGGTGTGAGGGGGCCTGACGAGAATGCGCTCTCCTGAGCAGAATGCCTGGGTTCAAATCCCAGCTCTACTCCTTACCCCTCTACGTGACCTTGTGCAAAGGTCCCTCCTGCTCTGTACCCCAGTCTTCATCTGCAGGAGGGAGACGGGCCAGTCCCAGCCTCAGAGGGCCGCCGGACCACCGCGGTAGTCTGCGAGGGCCATGCGTGTGGGGCTGGCCGGGCCTAGGTGCCACAGGTGCGTCACCCACCAGCTCGTTACCGCTTTTCACCGTGGACACCCAGGCACTTCCACGTCATCACTGTGCAGCACAGGCCTCCCAGCCTCTTTCCTGTGATCAAACATTCAAACGTGGGATCACATTATACACACTGTTTTGTGGCTTGCTTATTCCACTCAATGATACAACTTTCTTTTTTAAAAATTTTTTATTGTTATGTTAATCACCATACATTACATCATTAGTTTTTTTTATTCTTATGTTAATCCCCATACATTACATCATTAGTTTTAGATGTAGTGTTTCATGATTCATTGTTTGTGCATAACACCCAGTGCTCCATGCAGAATGTACCCTCCTCAATACCCATCACCAGGCTAACCCATCCTCCCACCCCCCTCCCCTCCAGAACCCTCAGTTTGTTTTTCAGAGTCCATCGTCTCTCATGGTTCATCTCCCCCTCCGATTTCCCCCCTTCGTTTTTCCCCTCCTGCTACCTTCTTCTTCTTCTTTTTTTTCTTAACATATATTGCATTATTTGTTTCAGAGGTAGAGATCTGAGATTCAACAGTCTTGCACAATTCACAGCGCTTACCAGAGCACATACCCTCCCCAGTGTCTATCACCCAGTCACCCCCTCCCTCCCACCCCACCCCCCACTCCAGCAACCCTCAGTTTGTTTCCTGCGATTAAGAATTCCTCATATCAGTGAGGTCATATGATACATGTCTTTCTCTGTTTGACTTATTTCGCTCAACATAATACCCTCCAGTTCCATCCACGTCGTTGCAAATGGCAAGATCTCATTCCTTTTGACGGCTGCATAATATTCCATTGTGTATATATACCACATCTTCTTTATCCATTCATCTGTCGATGGACATCTTGGCTCTTTCCACAGTTTGGCTGTTGTGGACATTGCTGCTATAAACATCGGGGTGCACGTACCCTTTCGGATCCCTACTTTTGTACCTTTGGGGTAAATACCCAGTAGTGCAATTGCTGGATCATATGGTAGCTCTATTTTCAACTTTTTGAGGAACCTCCATACTGTTTTCCAGAGTGGCTGCACCAGCTTGCATTCCCACCAACAGTGTAGGAGGGTTCCCGTTTCTCCGCATCCCCGCCAACATCTGTCGTTTCCTGACTTATTAATTTTAGCCATTCTGACTGGTGTGAGGTGATATCTCATTGAGGTTTTGATTTGGATTTCCCTGATGCCGAGCGATATTGAGCACTTTTTCATGTGTCTGTTGGCCATTTGGATGTCTTCTTTGGAAAAATGTCTGTTCATGTCTTCTGCCCATTTCTTGATTGGATTCTTTGTTCTTTGGGTGTTGAGTTGGATGAGTTCTTTATAGATTTTGGATACTAGCCCTTTATCTGATATGTCATTTGCAAATATCTTCTCCCATTCTGTCGGTTGTCTTTTGGTTTTGTGGACTGTTTCCTTTGCTTTGCAAAAGCTTTTTATCTTGATGAAGTCCCAATAGTTCATTCTTGCCCTTGCTTCCCTTGCCTTTGGCGATGTTTCTAGGAAGAAGTTGCTTTGGCTGAGGTCAAAGAGGTTGCTGCCTGTGTTCTCCTTTAGGATTTTGATGGACTCCTGTCTCACATTGAGGTCTTTCAACCATTTGGAGTCTATTTTTGTGTGTGGTGTAAGGAAATGGTCCAGTTTCATTCTTCTGCATGTGGCTGTCCAATTTTCCCAACACCATTTGTTGAAGAGACTGTCTTTGTTCCATTGGACATTCTTTCCTGCTTTGTCAAAGGTGAGGTGACCATAGAGTTGAGGGTCCATTTCTGGGCTCTCTATTCTGTTCCATTGATCTATGTGTCTGTTTTTGTGCCAGTACCATACTGTCTTGATGATGACAGCTTTGTAATAGAGCTGGAAGTCCGGAATTGTGATGCCACCAGCTTTGCCCTTCTTTTTCAACATTCCTCTGGCTATGCGGGGTCTTTTCTGGTTCCATATAAATTTTAGGATTATTTGTTCCATTTCTTTGAAAAAAGTGGATGGTATTTTGATGGGGATTGCATTGAATGTGTAGATTGCTCTAGGTAGCATTGACATCTTCACAATATTTGTTCTTCCAATCCATGAGCATGGAACGTTTTTCCATTTCTTTGTGTCTTCCTCAATTTCTTTCATGAATATTTTATAGTTTTCTGAGTACAGATCCTTTGTCTCTTTGGTTAGATTTATTCCTAGGTATCTTACGGTTTTGGGTGCAATTGTAAATGGGATCGACTCCTTAATTTCTCTTTCTTCTGTCTTGTTGTTGGTGTATAGGAATGCTACTGATTTCTGTGCATTGATTTTATATCCTGCCACTTTACTGAATTCCTGTATGAGTTCTAACAGTTTTGGCATGGAGTCTTTTGGGTTTTCCACATAAAGTATCATATCATCTGCAAACAGTGAGAGTTTGACTTCTTCTTTGCCGATTTGGATGCCTTTGATTTCTTTTTGTTGTCTGATTGCTGTGGCTAGGACTTCCAATACTATGTTGAATAGCAGTGGTGATAGTGGACGTCCCTGCCGCGTTCCTGACCTTAGGGGGAAAGCTCTGTTTTTCCCCATTGAGAATGATATTTGCTGTAGGTTTTTCATAGATGGCTTTTATGATATTGAGGTATGCACCCTCTATCCCTATACTCTGAAGAGTTTTGATCAAGAAAGGATGCTGTACTTTGTCAAAAGCTTTTTCTGCATCTATTGAGAGGATCATATGATTCTTGTTCTTTCTTTTGTTAATGTATTGTATCACATTGATTGATTTGCGGATGTTGAACCAACCTTGCAGCCCAGGGATAAATCCCACTTGGTCGTGGTGAATAATCCTTTTAATGTACTGTTGGATCCTATTGGCTAGTATTTTGGTGAGAATTTTTGCATCCATGTTCATCAGGGATATTGGTCTGTAATTCTCCTTTTTGATGGGGTCTTTGTCTGGTTTTGGGATCAAGGTAATGCTGGCCTCATAAAATGAGTTTGGAAGTGTTCCTTCCATTCCTATTTTTTGGAACAGTTTCAGAAGAATAGGTATTAATTCTTCTTTAAATGTTTGGTAGAATTCCCCTGGGAAGCCATCTGGCCCTGGGCTTTTGTTTTTTGGGAGATTTTTGATGACTGCTTCAATTTCCTTAGTGGTTATAGGTCTGTTCAGATTTTCTCTTTCTTCCTGGTTCAGTTTTGGTAGTTGATACATCTCTAGGAATGCATCCATCTCTTCCAGGTTATCTAATTTGCTGGCATAGAGTTGCTCATAATACGTTCTTATAATTGTTTGTATTTCTTTGGTGTTGGTTGTGATCTCTCCTCTTTCATTCATGATTTTGTTGATTTGGGTCATTTCTCTTTTCTTTTTGATAAGTCTGGCCAGGGGTTTATCAATCTTGGTAATTCTTTCAAAGAACCAGCTCCTAGTTTCATTGATCTGTTCTACTGTTCTTTTAGTTTCTATTTTATTGATTTCTGCTCTGATCTTTATTATTTCTCTTCTCCTGCTGGGTTTAGGCTTTATTTGCTGTTCTTTCTCCAGCTCCTTTAGGTGGAGGGTTAGGTTGTATACCTGAGACCTTTCTTGTTTCTTGAGAAAGGCTTTTATTGCTATATACTTTCCTCTTAGGACTGCCTTTGCTGCATCCCAAAGATTTTGAATAGTTGTGTTTTCATTTTCATTGGTTTCCATGTATTTTTTTAATTCTTCTTTAATTTCCTGGTTGACCCATTCATTCTTCAGTAGGATGCTCTTTAGCCTCCATGTATTTGAGTTCTTTCCGACTTTCCTCTTGTGATTGAGTTCTAGTTTCAAAGCATTGTGGTCTGAAAATAGGCAGGGAATGATCCCAATCTTTTGGTACCAGTTGAGACCTGATTTATGACCTAGGATGTGATCGATTCTGGAGAATGTTCCATGGGCACTAGAGAAGAATGTGTATTCCGTTGCTTTGGGATGGAATGTTCTGAATATGTCTGTGAAGTCCATTTGGTCCAGTGTGTCATTTAAAGTCTTTATTTCCTTGTTGATCTTTTGCTTAGATGATCTGTCCATTTCAGTGAGGGGGGTGTTAAAGTCCCCCACTATTATTGTATTGTTGTCGATGTGTTTCTTTGCTTTTGTTATTAATTGCCTTATATAATTGGCTGCTCCCATGTTAGGGGCATAGATATTTACAATTGTTAGATCTTCTTGTTGGATAGACCCTTTAAGTAGGATATAATGTCCTTCCTCATCTCTTATTACAGTCTTTGGTTTAAAATCTAATTTGTCTGATATAAGGATTGCCACCCCAGCTTTCTTTTGGTGTCCATTAGCATGGTAAATGGTTTTCCACCCCCTCACTTTCAATCTGGGGGTGTCTTTGGTTCTCAAATGAGTCTCTTGAAGACAGCATATCGATGGGTCTTGTTTTTTAATCCAGTCTGATAGCCTGTGTCTTTTGATTGGAGCATTTAGCCCATTTACATTCAGGGTAACTATTGAAAGACAGGAATTTAGTGCCATTGTATTGCCTGTAAGGTGACTGTTACCGTATATTGTCTGTGTTCCTTTCTGGTCTATGTTGCTTTTAGGGTCTCTCTTTGCTTAGAGGACCCCTTTCAAGATTTCTTGTAGGGCTGGTTTTGTGTTCGCAAATTCCTGGAAGCTTCCTGGAAGCTT